GTTCAGCCTGGGGAGGAGGAGCTGAGGGGAGACCTTCTGCTCTCTACAGCCCCCTGAGAGGAGGGGGGGCGGTCTCTGTCCCCAGGAACAGGCGATGGGACAGGAGGGAACAGCCGCAAGTTGCACCAAAGGAAGTTTAGGATGGATATTGGGAAAAATTTCTTCACCAAAAGTGTTATCAAGCACTGGCACAGGCTGCCCAGGGCGGCGGTGGCGTCGCCATCCCCGGGGGGATTTAACAGAGGTGTAGGTGTGGTGCTGAGGGACAGGGGTTAGTGGTGAACCTGGCAGTGTTGGGTTACTGGTTGGACCTGGTGATCTTAAAGGTCTTTTCCAACCTAAACGATTCTATGATTCCATGATTCTCCTTTCCCGGCTCCTGGGGAGATGGGCTGCCCATGGCCATCCTCACCCTGGGGAAGCGCCGGTGCCGGAGCAGCAGCCTCTCCCGTTCGAGGCGCTCTCCGAAGCTGTCGAGTTCAGGCATCGTTCACTTCCCTTCCTCCGCAAAGCCAGGCTCGACTGATTATTTATTTATTTATTTATTTATTTTATCAGATAATATCCTTGGTGTTGCGAAGTGTCTGGAGCCGAGCTTGGCCGCCCTGCCAAATCGCTGGGCGAGCGGGGAAGGGCTTGGAGGGACACGAAAGCGTCTGGTCCCCGATGGGTGGCACTCAGCGCCCGGCACCCCCCTCCTCCGTGGGCAGGCACAGGGTGCTCGGCTTCCACGAGAAAAATGAAGATTTGGGGCAGTTCCCTGCTCTGCTGCGGGCAGGTGAGAGCCGGGGGGCGGCCGGGAGCCACTCGCCCCGAGACGGAGCCCACTGCAGCCCTTCAAAGTGGAAAAAGTGTTTATTCCTGGGATATCGGGTTTCCGGCAGGAAGGCCAGCGACTGCCAAGGTTTTTATTGGATCCCAGTGAAAGGAATTTAGAGAGTCGTGCGCTGCTTGTCTTTCCCTGCGCCTGCAGCGGTGAAGTGTCATAAGGAGCGTTTTTACCTTTGAACGGGAGCGAGGGGTACAGGGATTTGGCATCCGGCACCGGTACGGCCGCGGTGATGGGGTTTCAAACAGGTTGCCTTGTTGTCTGCCGGGCAGGAGGCATCAGGAGGGGTCGGGGCTGGGGAAGCACGGAGCGGGGCTTGGAAGTAGTTGAAAGAACCTCAACTCCGTCCAGCTCAAAGCATGTGGGAAGTGTTGGTTGAGCTCCTCTCCCCGTAGCGGGGCTGGGGCCAGGTATTTCACATTTGTTACTAGTTTGGACAAGGTTTTGACTGTTCTTGGAGGTAATTTTATAGGAGACTGAAATTCTGAAGACCACGTACGTGTCGCGGAGACAACTCCAGAGCTCCGATTGCCCTTGGATGCTGTCAGCACTGACCAACGTCCTCCAGGGCCTGAGGTCCATGCCAAGTCCCGTTCCTGTCCACGCACGGGGAGCTCTGGGCTTTACACGGGGGTTTCCCGGGGCTCTTCTAGCCCGGCTGTGGAGCTGCTGCCCTGAGGAACGGGAAGAAGAGGGACAGCGGCTGTGGTTTGCAGCAGGGTCAGAGCTGCACTCGGTGGGAACAGGGGTGTGAGCGGCTCCCTGGCTCTCCCTGCGGAGGGGAAACGAAAGGGGCCGTTAAGGCGATGCAGAATTGCCCAGGGGTGATGCTCTCTGGAGCATCAGGGCCACCGGCAGCGAGAGGTGAGCCCTGGCTCTGCTCGAGGTCCCTCCGGCCGCTCGGTGCTGCGGTGTTGGGCCGTTCCCTCGATGATGAGCAGTTGAAATCTTGTGTCTTGCTCCCAGCCCCTGCACTGACGGGCACAGAGGTGAGCAGTGCTGCACGGGGGCTCGCAGGGTCCTTGCAAGAGCTGGAGATCTTGGAGACGAGGATTTCTTAATTTAGGGGCTCGATCCAGCGAAAGGAGGTGGCTGAGCTCTGTGCACTGCGGTGTGTTGGGATTTCACTGTTTGGCGCTGGGTTGGCTGTGCTGTGAGCGCCTGGTGTCCAAATCGGACGTGGGACGAGCAGTCTCCTCTCCCTGTTGGTGGGGACACCTGGGGAGAGCTGCGGGCTCATCTTCTCCAGAAGGAGGAGGGAAGACCACTCTTGCTTTCTGCGGTGTTTGAAGTGGGAGGCAGAGCTCGCCTTCTGGGTTTTTGGGAAGGTTTTTGTGCTGTGCAGACGCTCGCAGGATCTCTGAGCGGATACTGGACACGCGTGGTTTCCTGTTGCTCTTCCAGCTTCAGCTGCAGGATCAGGGACCAGCATCCTGCAGCGCGGAGCACGGGAGGGTGATTGCTGCAGTGGAAATTTTGCTCAGTGGAAAAAAAAGAGAAAAAAAAAAAAAAAAGGCAGGGAAGATGTGGGTACACTGTTGATTGTCGGTTTTTCACTAACAAGATGACGCTGTTCTCCAGGGCTCTGGGGCCCTACAGCTGTCCCCCCGGGGCCAGGGATGGGAGGTCTGTGGGGGGTGCAACTGGCCACGGAAGAGCCTTTGGGGCCACGGTCCTTGTCCCCGCCTGGCACAAGGCAGGTAGTGCCCAGGCAGGGAAGGGCGGGAGAAACGGGGCAACTGCTAAAGTGGCGGCTAACGAGCTGTGCGGGACCTTGGGCTGCTCACGCACCGAAAGAAAAGCGCATGTGGAAACAGCTCGGGAGTGTGTGCTGCTGAGTATCTCCTCTTTCCGACGCCCACCGCCACAGCAAGATGTATTTATTTGGAGAAAGGAGTAAATTTCTTTTCCCCTCCAGGAATTACTGGTCCTGGAGAGAAACCGCATTCCCAGAGCTGTCTCTTGTCCTCCTTCCATGACCCTCTTCCTCCGCTCCCTGGCGCGGGGTCCTGGAGACTTCATTGCCTGCTTTTGATCCCTTTTGATTTGAAGCTGCAGTGAGCCGTGGCTTTGGAGAAGCTGAGCCGCCGGGGGGAGAAAGGGCCGGGGGCAGCGCAAGAGGCAGCGGGGACGTGGGAGGGGGGAGAGGGAAGGAAAATATTGAACTTAGCGCGAAAACCAGTGAAGCAAACAGGGAAGGCAAGAAGGGAGGAGTGTTAACTGCGGAGCGGAGGCCAAGAGGGGATGGAGCAGCGTGACCATCAAGTGAACTGTGTGAGTTTGTGCAGGGGGTTCCTCCATGGCGTGGGGTCCCCGGGTCCTGGCAGGCAGTGGGAGGCCACAGAGTCCCCATGTGCAGGAGGACTGGTGGGGCCATGTGCGTGCCACCAGCCTGTCACAGCACCCTGGGCTTGTCACAGCTGAGATGCCACAGTGAGGCATCACATCATGGCCCATATGGACCATGTGCGCTCCAGACCGCGCAGGGCTTCAGCCCTCCCTGCTGGTTCCCAGGGCTCCAGCTCAGGACCAGGTGGGGCTGGAGCTTCTTGCCCTCCGGGAGGATCATAGAATGGTTTAGGCTGGAAAGGACCTTGAAGATCATTGAGTTCCAACCCCCCTGCCATAGACAGGGACACCAGAGGATGCTCTGGTCTGTGGCAACTGTAGCTGTGGAGCTCCAACCCCTGTCCATGGGGGCTCCAGCTCTGCACCATGCAGGGCTCAGAGCGACCTGGACAGGCTGGAGAGGTGGGCCTGTGCAAACCTCATGAAGTTCAACATGGCCAAGTGCAAGGTCCTGTGCGTGGGCTGGGGCAACCCCACGCACAAATCCAGGCTGGGCAGAGAATGAATGGAGAGCAGTCCTGAGGAGAAGGATTTGGGGGTGTTGGTGGATGAGAAGCTCAACACGAGCCAGCAATGTGCGATCACAGCCCAAAAAG